ACACTGAATCAAACTCAATATAAAATGGAAAAAGTTGGAAGCATCTTCAATTTTCCAGAAAAATGAATAAACGGAACATGAAAACACAGCATACAATCAAGTGAAATATTTAGGGAAATGAAGAAAATTCATGAATGAAAAGTGTCAGATTCCATTTTAAAGGTAAACATCAAAATATTTATTTCTCCATAATTTTTGCATAATAATGTTTCATGATTAAATATTCTTTACTGGGACTTTTATTCTTTTAGTTTTATCAATATGTCATTCTACTTTTACTAGCTATATGTTTTCTACTAGGAAAGCTTGATAGAATTTTATGTGTATATATTTTATCATTGACTTGTAGGCTTGGTGTAGGCAATTTGGTTACAAAAATATGTTTTCTCTCTGCTTCTTGAGTATTTATGGTTAATATTTTCTTAATGTTTAGGGTTTTGTGTGTGTGTGTGTGTGTGTGTGTGTGTGTGTGTGGAGTGGTGGTACAGGCTAACGTGCTCAGGGTTACTACTAGCTCAGGGCCATGTGTGATGACAGGGATCAAATCAGACTTATCCCAATGAAAGAGCTGTATCTCTCGTATTCCTACACAATCTTTTAAACCATTGTTTATTAAAATACTAATTTTACTGTATCACTGTACAGTTGATTTAAATTTAAGCACAGAATAACTGAGAAAATTAAAAGTGCTTTTCAAAATAGAAAAGGCTATTGTGGGGCCAGAGATACAGTACAGGGTTAAGGCATATGACTTGCACATAGCCCCAGTACAGTTTGATCCCTAGTAACATAAACGGTTTTTCCCAAATGCTATCAGGAGTGATCTCTGAGCGTTGAGCCAGGAAAAGGTCCTAAACATCACCAGATGTGTTCCAAAACAAAAAGAAAAAAGATTTTGGGTGTATGTGTGTGTGTGTGTCTGTCGGAAGTGAGGGGTGGGGGGTACTGGGGATTTAATTCTGAATCTGACATGAAAGGCAAGTGCTGTACCACTGAATTATATTCCTGACCCCTCAAAAGCGCTTTCTTAAAGTTATAATTTATAGTTTATAAAGTTAGTCCCTTTTAAGTGTATTGATTATATATATATATATATATATATATATATATATATATATATATAGAGAGAGAGAGAGAGAGAGAGAGAGAGAGAGTTATGTAGTAGTGTGCAGGACCCGGGGCATAGATCTCTAAGCCTGCTCAGATTGGGACTGGGGCCTCCTCCACCCAGATCTCCCATCTTCTAGGATGTAGGCATTACACCCACCCAACTGCCCCCGGCACCATGTAATCCCATCAATGGCCAAGATCCAGAGACTATAAAACTCTGCTCCTGGAAGAGCGGCCGCATTTGTGGCCACGCAACATCTTATCAACTAGTTCTTATTCTGGAGAACCTGGCAGGCTACCAAAAGTATCCTGCCCACATGGCAGAGTCTGACAAACTCCCTGTGGCATATTCAATATGCCAAAAACCAGTAATAATTATGGGTCTCATTCTCCTGGCCCTGAAAGAGCCTCAAATGTGGAACTTTTTAAAATCTCAGGGCTAAGACGAAGGAGACGTTACTGGGACCTGCTCAAGGCAGTCGATGAACAACAGGAAAGACAGTGATATAGTGATTGTACTCTGAACCTGTTTCCTTCTGTTTTCAATATTTTGATGTTTACCTTTATAATGGAATCTGAAAATTTCATTCATAAATTTTCTTCATTTTCCCAAAACCTTTCACTTGATTGTATGCTGTGATTTTATGTCCAGTTTATTCCTTTTTCTGGAAAATTGAAGATTATATTTTTTTTCATTTTATATTCAATTTAATTCAGTGTGCTTTTCACACCAGAAAGAGTAAGCAAAAGCTAATAGGGTTTACTTACCACCAAACCTGCTCCATAAAAGAATGCTGAAGCTGGGGCCCCCGAGAGAGTACAGTGGAGAAGGCACTCTCCTTGCATGCAGCTAACCCATGTTTGATCCCCAGAAACCCATAGTGCTCCACAAGCCCAAAAAGTATGATCCTAAACACAGATCCAGTAATCTGCCCTGGACACTGATGGATGCCACCAACCACCCCCCCCCCAAAAAAAAAAAACTTGAAGAAACGTTTGAAACAGAATTTTCTATATGAAATGACAGAAAAGACACAATTTTGAGCCATGAGATTAATGGGGGAAAAAAAAAGACTATTGGAATATAAAATGGGAGGACAGGGCCAGTATAAGTAAAATAATGATGAACCAATACTAGCACACAAAAGACTGTTAAATATAGAAAGTTTGAAGTAATTCTATGACAGCTAGAACTAAAAATATGGAAGCAAAAATATGGAAGAACAATCCAAGAGAAAACACAGAAACATAAAATTTAAAAAAAAGTAAAACAATCAGAAAACAAAAAAATAGCAATCAAGCCCCAGATATGGATATTATGAAATGTGATATTATTCATTATCACATTTGAATGAACATTATGAAATGTGCAATCTTAGCTCTACTAATCCAATAATGTAGAAGAGCAGGATGGCTAAGTAGGACTCACTGACACTTGGCACAGACTGAGTCTCCCCTCGCATATAGACAGGCTTAGAACGGAACACTGAAGCAAAGTGTCCCAAGTCAAATGCAAAGAAAAAGTGAATGACTGCTATCGCCCTAGCTAATAAAATATGCTTCTAGCCAACAAAAAATAGTAAGAGAACACAAAAATTATATATTGATGATGGGTCAATCCATCAAGAAGTTAAAGTGGTTATTATTATACATGTTCCAACATGGGGACAGCAAATACTCAAAACAGACCTCAAGGAATACATTGATAGCAACCCAATAACCATGGGATATTCAACAACACAATTTTCAGCAATGGACATATCACCTAGACAAATCATCAGCAAGGAAATTAATTAGCATTTAATGAAGTAACTGAAAAGATAAATAACAGATATATAAAAAAGTTATATATATACATATATATTCACTATAGAAATGAATACACATTTTTCAAGTATACAAGAAACATTTTCAGGGAGGTCACATATTCATACTATAAATGGAAGATTTAGTGTATGTGAAGGCTGAACTCGCATCAAGTACTTTTCTGATAGCAGTGATAAAAGAATAAAAGTAAATGAAAGAAGCCTCAAACATGTAGTCTAAATAAACAGCTTCTGAAGATGCATCTTAAATGTATAATTGTGGCATGTGGCCCATTGTACTGACAATGTACGTAATAAATCACTCCAAACTAAAGCTTACAGCAGGTAGTAACCCTTCTTTAATCATTCTTTCCCTAGAAACATTTAGGGATAACATAAGAGAAGAAGAAGCTGTTACCAGGCAACATTGCTTATTATTGGTGGGAAGCATCTGGACCAGAATGACTATGAAAGAACTATCACATTATTTAGGACTCCTATATTCAACATCCCGGTTGAGTATATCCTTGCTCCTTAAGGCATGCCTTTCGGGAGACTGGAGCATGAGCCTTCCAGGGCAAGGACAATAATGTCTGTCCACATGGGCTCCTTCCGTTAAAAGTGAGTAAGTCACTGGACCCAAAGAATATAAAACCTACACTATAAAACAACACTACTTCAATGTAAACATTTTTTAAAATATCATGTACTAGAGAGATCATACAGTGGATACGATCCTTATTAGGCAGCTACTACTCACAGTTTTTAGGGTTTCCTACAGAATTCTTACATATTTCTTTAAAAACTCTATTTAGGCATATACACCTTGTACACTACCAAACTAGGTTCGATCCCTGGAACCCCTTATGGGACCCCATTCACCACCAGGAGTAACCCCTGGGCATCACTGGCTGTGGCAAAAAAATAAAAAACAAAACAAAACAAACAACAACAACAACTAAAAAGTAAAGTTAATCATTTCATAATAAGGAGAAATTTGCAAAAACGGCTTCTAAAAAAAATAAACACTCGTTGAAAAAACTTGTAATCTGTTAACTCAGTTTTCTGTCAAACATTCATTTGTTAAACAAAGAGAATCTAATGACAGACTTATTGTGGCACATTAAGTCAGCCAGACAACATAAATCCACTTATAGTCCATCATATGGAAATACGCATAGATCGAAATATATTATTTTCTTCTAAGAAAATAATTCATTTTAATAACTATAATTTTAATTTTAATGAATACTGTGAATTAAAATTATTCTCAACTGAATTTCAGGCATCAAATGTTCCCAAGCCCATTCCTTCACCAGTCTCACCATAATTTTGAGTATACTACTTGGGTCCACATGCTTCTCAAGTTAGTCAAGGTGTATTCTTTATTAAAAGATTCGGATATTTCCTTTTATTGTTAGTGACTCTCTCATAGTTCTGACAAAATTTTCCTTTAGTTACTTTATTACATCTTTGATTTTTCACTGTAACTATTATTGTCACTCACCCTTTAAACCTAATAGCTAGTAGTTCATTTTAAACATTCCGCAGTAGCAAAGCATAAGAAGTTCTTCTAAATATAAACACTAAAATATCTTATTGACATTCTCACTTCTTTATCTCTGAGGACATCACAGTATAATGAAAGAAGGATATTTAAAACCACAACACCTTGTGATCTAAAGAGAAAGTATAGCATGCAGGGCTGTACCAGCTCACCTCCACTCATATGGACCTGAGCATTGCCAAGAGTGGTCCATGAATACAGAGCCAGGAGTAAGCCCTGACCACTGCCAAGTGTCACCCCCCAAAAATTAAAAATGAAATAAAACTACAAATAAATATAAATAAAAGTATAGCACTTGGTAAGAAATCAATGCTGGTCCACTGTATACACTTTATAACTGTTTCATTAAAACATGCTAAAATTAGTACTTTTTCTTCTATTCTTGAAACTACTCACATTTTTCAGCATTTCCTACAGAATTCCTATATATTTCTTTAATTACTATGTAGGCACATGCATCTTTAACTTCTATTATTATAATTATGTCATTTAATTACTTAGCTTATATTTTAACTTACCCTGAAACATGCAATATCAGCAGCATGTAGAAGACAAAGAAGAGATTATGAGTATACCAGAAGATGTTATAGTTAGAAACTCTGAAAAAACAAATAACTTAATTTCAATGCCACTTTATTTTCTTCTCACTAAAATGACTACATCATTTCAAACATTAGCTTAAGTAAGATTTATCTATTATTTCAGAATGCTAACATTCTATGCATAAAGAAATACAAAAAAATGCAACTAGCACATTATCAGTTTTGAAGGATTCTAATAAAGGTGTGAGGACTGGAGAGAGAACAGTGGGTGGGGTGCTTGACTTGCACACAGCTGACTGGACTCAATCCCTGATAGCTCCCATGGTCTCCTGAGTGCCACCTACAGTCTCTCCCTGAGGACAGAGCCAGGAGTAAGCCTTGAGTTCCACCAGGGAGTGGTACCCAAAAATAAAAATACCAAATAATGGTGTATGCAACAAATAAAATCAGTGCTTCATTAGGATGTAAAGCTAAAAGGCAAGCAACTCCTAATATGTACCATTGCAATTTTATAAAAAACAGTGAAGCTCCAAATGATTTCTGAGAGTAGCTCCAATATATGGAAATTAAATATAAGTTTTACATAACCTGATTGAACAAGTACAACGTAAGAATGGCATCTTAGCGTTAACTGTGCTAGGGGAGGAGAAAGTCTGAGGGAAAGAGAGGAAAAGCACAATTGGAAAGGTTGTTTGAGGGAAGTGTCATCTTTTCTTACAGCTTAGCAACATTTTAAGGTGTGTATTATACCACTTCCATAACCATTCACTTACTGTTTGGCCCAGGGTTATCTCCCTCTCTGGGCTATGATTGACAGTGTGCTCACTGCAGTACTGTGGACAGTAGCCCAGACATGAATACAGCCTATGTACCAAGATGGATAGAGAGATAATGGAACTGCAGGATCATATGCACAATTTAATACTGTAGAGCATTAAGCAGAGATGGAACCATGTAACTCCCTGCTGCCTGGACCTTGTTGGCGTAACAGAGGTGTATCTCAATAAACTGACATATGCTTTGCCTGCAGAAAATCTGGGTTGATTCCTAGATCTGCCAAGTAGACCAAGCACAAACTGGCGTAGCCAAGATCAAAAAGGAAACTAAAGATCTATTACTTTATTTTAGATATCTAGGCGAATAGTCACACATTAGAATCTTGGAAATAGAAGGCAGTTAACTGTTCCCAAACTATTTCTGACATACTCCTCAGAACCTTAAAGACCCCAATTTAAGGAACAGCCAATTAGAGTTTGTCTCACATTTTCTTTATTCAGTTTCTGCTAAAGCTAATTAGTGTCTTCGTGTCCTAGTAAAAGGTTGTTTGCACGTGTCTAATTATATTTAAACCTAAATTCCTATAAGAATTTCTATGTTAAATAGCATAGATTTTTAGTTTTTGGAAGTATTATTCATTTTATATGAGAACTTGCTTAACAATTACAAACCCAACAGGAAGGATATCTCAAAACACTGATCCTATAAGTTTTTTTTCTATTGTAAAATTGGATATTAATTCATTTGTATACTATGACTGTGCTGGAGCGATAGCACAATGGGTAGGGCATTTGCCTTGCATGCGGCCGACCTGGCCGACCTGAGTTCGATTCCTCCACCCCTTTCGGAGAGCCCGGCAAGCTACTGAGAGTTTCTTGCCCTCATGGCAAAGCCTGGCAAGCTACCCATGACATATTCAACAGGCCAAACACAGTAACAACAAAGTCTCACAATGGAGACATTACTGGGCCCCATAGAGCAAATCAATGAACAACAGGAGGACAGTGCTACAGTGTTACTATGATTAACCTGTTGACAGTAAATATTCATTCTATACTTATATTCATTCTATAGATCACTCCCAGAAAAATTATGAAATTCTTTATCACTGTAGATAACTAAGATAAAAATTTCATAATTTTTCTTTGCAAACTATTCAAATTCTAAGAATATAACACCACATAACTATAACTTGTCCAAAACACAAACTTTTTAAATATGTATCAGGCAAACTGACATAAAGAAATTTTAATTTTCGTAGTATTTGTTTTTCCTTTCTTCTGGGGAAAGTAGAAAGCCCTAGACTTACTCCTGGTTCTGTGCTCAGGATTCACTCCTGGCAGGGTTCAGTGAGCCATAAGGGTGAGCTGTATGAAAGGCAAGAGTCCTACTCACTTTATTATCTCTTTTGTTTTATTGGCAGTATGTTCCATAGTTTCTTTGAACTCCTTTTGCATCCTTAATAATTCCTCTCTAATTTCCTTATCAGAGAGCTTATACAGCTCACTATTACTGGTTGAATCAATGGGCTAGCATCTTCACTCACTAAGCCTGGTGGTTTTCTGTATAACTTTGTTGTAACCTTTGCAGCTTGTGTGTTGCTGTGTGGTTAGGTGTCTACCATTCAGATGTCTTTATATGGCTATGGTGAATTATGGAGAGGTAAGAAAGCTCAACCATGGCCAAAGTGGCTAAGCGGCCCTTCCTGCCTTCATCCAGTTCACGGATGGTGTGCAATCCTGACCTGATCTCTCTGGTCTGGTTTTCATAATTTTAAACAGTGAAATATTTTCCCATTCACTTACCTGATACCCTATAATTTCATCCATATTTTAACAAATGTCAAGGCTTCATCTTTCCTTACAGCTTTAGTAGTATTTTAAGATGTGTGTTTATACTACTTCTAACGTCACTCACTTGCTGGGCACCTGGGTTATTTTTCTATCTTGACTGTTACTGACAATATGTTGATTCATTCACAATAGTCCAGATATAAAAATAGCGGACATGCCAACAATAGATAAGTGAACAAAGAAACTGTGATATACATACACAATTGAAGACTTTGGAGCTTTAAGAAAAGATGAAATCATGAAACTCACTTTTGCTTGGATGAAACTAAAGGGTATTAAATTGAGTGAAATTAGTCACTCCAAAATGGAACAAATACAGAATGCTCTCATATGTGAAATATAAAGAAACATACTAAGGTAACAGTAAAACTACAATCACATTAGGCCCTGAAAATCATCCTACATAACTGGATGTTGGATCAGAGAAATAGTACAGGAGTAAGGCTGACATGAAGCTGACTTCACTTCAATTCCCACAATGGCAAATAGCCCCATGAGCATCACCAGGAGTGACCCCTGAACCCAGAATCAGGATTAATCTCTAGAATAGCTGAGTGTGGTACCCAAAGAGGAAAATACCAGGAGGGTGGGGTGGTCTTGGATTGGAAGAGACCTTAAGGCACTGATGGAAGGATAATGATATGTTGTAGGTATGGTATTATAATACTATATACCTAGAACTTTATCATGGTGACTTAACAACTTATTTTTCACTGTAGATAATTAAGATAAAATTAAGTCTCACAATAATATTGTGTGAAATATTTAGATGGTTTACAGTTATTACATAGGACACACACTCAAAATAGTGCCACAATAAACATAGCTGTGCATATGTTTTAAAAACAGTGAGGTTTAAAGGGAGGCAGGGGATGCTTGGCAATGCTCCTGATGCACTCCTGGCTCTGCACTCAGGGATCATTCCCAGGAGACTCAGGGAAACTGATCCTGGCCTTGCTCACCTCAGGGCAAGCACTGTCTTATCTCTCCAGCCCATTCATTTTGTGTTCTTGTGTTAACAGAAAGAATACCTATGAGTGTAATCTTATTTTTAACTTTTTATACATTTGCAAACTCTTTCCATAAAGGAAAAACAAATTCACATTTCAACAACAGTTCAAATGAGAGTTCATTTTTCTCCATACCTCCACCAGCACTTGTTCTTTCTGGACATTTTCTTAGATATGCTACTCTCAATAATGAAATTGTTATTATTTTTACCTTTGCCTGATAATCAACTGTGCTGAACATTTTTTCCTATGCATTTTCCCAATTTTTCTTTTCTTCTTTGAGGGTATCTGGACCAATCTTCTGGAGCTACTTATTGCTCTGTGCTCAGGGGCTGTTCTCAGTAGTCGGTGCTCAGGAAACCATTCAATAATGGAGACTAACTTGGGCCACCGCACGCGAGGCAAAAGTCTTAACTTCTGTACTATCTATCTATTACAGTGTTAATCTTTCAATAATGAGTTTATTTGTAAGGATTTTTAGTGTGTAACCATGCCTGTGTAAAAGTTTTCAGAAGACTCCTTTGAGTATTCTCCTGGAAAATTACTTTGAATGCACATGTATATGTGTTTTCAAGACATTCACAGTTCAGCAAGGTGAATGTGCGAAGATTAAAATATTAATCTTCTTTCCCTTTCTCAACCAGAAACTTTCCCCAGAAAAGGTATACCATCAGGAAAGATATAAAAATTCTCATAAAATATATATTTATAATATATATTAATAAAAATCTATTAACTAGAATAAGGTAAAAGCAAACATTTCAAATTATTTTAGCAGATGCCATTTAAATATATTTAAAAAGTTTTCTTTATGGGTACAGGTTAAATTGTAGTAGAATAGCCACATCTAGAAATTGGTTATAAAAATGTTAAGTTATATATTCCTAGAAATACACCAGGTCCTTCTGCATGTACATGGAACCCAATATCTCAGAGAAAGATGTGACCTTGAGAGATTTGCTACCCTAAAGAACTCAAGTTGGCAATAACAAAATTCAATATATGTTATGCCTGACCAATTCAAATTATTTGACTAAGACAAATAGATTTTTAAAAAACAGGAAAGAAAATTTATAATTGTTTCCACTTCACTTTTAATTACTCTGAACATCATTAACCAGAACATTGCATTAGCAAATTTTTTGACTATTTAAAATTTTTTCTCCACATGAAAATTCTTATAATCTGAAAAAAACGTTCTGATCACTAACAATCAATAATGACTGCTGCTTACCGCATGGCATATGTAGAAGCTGTAACCATCAAGAAGAGCGTCAATACCATGCAGACTCCTGTCAGGCCAGGAACTATAGACAGAGAGAGTAGGATCGAACTTAAACCACAGTGAAAGCAACATTAAAAAACCCATTACCTCAGAATCTGACCACTGAGCTTCTCTGAGGGAAATGCATTCAAATTACGTCTCATTCTCTGCATATTTTCCATGCCATAAAAGATGGTTCAAAATTAGTATAATTTCAAAGAACTTAAGAAAGAACACTGGTGGAAGGTTTGGACATGGTGGCAGAAGTAAGATATACATCAAAACCATATATATATTGATTTGGGAGCCATGCCTGGCGGTGCTCGGAGCTCACTGATAGCTCTGAACTCAGGGATCACTCGTGGTGGGTCTCAGAGGACATTATGGTACACCAAGAACTGAACCCAGATCGACCATGTGCAAGGCAAGCATACTACCATCATACTATCATTCTGGCCCCCAAACCAGAAATGTCAACGCTATCATTAACATGTTATCTAAACTTTATTAATTTTAATTTTAAAAATATATACTAGATTCTTGCATATAATTTTTCTCTTTACAAGTTATCTACCCAGAATGGTGAATGAAAAATCTGTGGTTACATGCTATTCCAAATGTAAATAACACAAAAGCAAAGGGTTAATAAGCAACACTTTTGTCCATCTGATTTTGCTCACAATAAAACTGCAATTGCTGAAAATTGGAAGGGACTTCATCTTTATTATGTGGAATGATTTTAAAAGCAAAATATGGATAATCTAAATATTTCTGAAAACTATAACTTTTAAGTAACTTTTAATGAAATGGTGGGTTTCCAGGAAAATATACAAGCGTAGTTTTAAAAAACACTTTCAGATGTTTATTTTTAAAACGTAAAATAATGCTGAGATCAGTACTTCTAGCATGGCATTATAATATCCATTTTTAAAGTGAATAAAATACCATCTCACACCAGTGAGAGTGGCACATAGCAAAAAAACTTTTTGTGTTGGCAAGTATGTGGTGAAAAAGGAACCCTCATCCACTGCTGGCAGGAATGTCATCTGGCCCAACCCCGTGGAGTATTCTCAGGAAACTTATAAAAGAGCTGCCATATGACCCACCAATTCCACTTTTGGGCATCTATACCCAGAACACAAAAACACCCTTTCAAAATATTCACACCATATTCATCACTGCACTCAGTAAAATAGCTAAGACATGGAATCAACCTCGGTGTCCAAAGACAGAAGAATGGATTATGAAGATGAGGTAAAAGTATACACATTGGAATACTATGAAGCGGCAAGGAATGATGAAATCATGCAACACCACCTCCTGGTTGGAACCGGAAGATCGCATGCTGAATGAAGAAAGCCAGAAGAAGAAAGATGCTTTGACTGATGCTCTCCCTTATCTGTGGAACACAGAATACCGGACGAGGAAATGTACTGTAGTAAAGGGGGAGGCTTAGATTAGCCTCGACCCCAGGGTTAGGGAGGAAACAAAGAAGGAAAGACACCAAAGAGGAAGAACAGGACAAGAAGTAATGGGTGAACAGGACTTCAGTTACACCAGTGACATGAGTGAGGCGTGTACCATAGACCCAAAACACAGACTTGACGGGACTGAACACATGAGAGCTAAGCACCAATCACTGAAACTTTCTAATGTTTCTGTCTGTCAATTTGTCAGGCAGGGCTGGGGATGCTGGGAAGGGGGGAATCTGGGAACAATGGTACAGGGAAGTTAACATTTGTGGAGGGGCTTGTGCTGAATTAATGTAGGCCTAAAACCCAACTATCAGTAACTTTGTAAATCATGGCTCCTTAATAAATTTTTAATGAATAAAACATGAAAACATATATTTTCAAAATTAATTACATGCTATATAAATGTGCAAAATTAAAAGCTGATGCATTTTTAAAATCACAGTTTTTTTCTAAATTTTTATAATCAATCACCATGAGATACAGTTAGATTTACAAACTTTCGTGATTACATTTCAGTCATACAATGATCGAGTATCCAATCCCTCCACCAGTGCCAATACTCCACCACCAATGTTCCCAGCAACCCTCCCACCACCTCCTCCCTCCCCCTCTCGCCCTGCCTCTGCTGTAGGCACATTCCCTTTTAATCTCTCTCTCCTTTTGGGTATTATGGTTCGCAATAAGGTACTAAGTGGCCATCATGTTTAGTCCATAGTCTACTTTCAGTACATATCAAATCACATAGTTTTAAAATCATATCAAGTCACATAGTTAAAATTTTTAAGTTTTTTTTAAAGTTTTAAAGTCACATAAAATCACAGTTAAAACCACAGCAGCTTTATTTCTTAAAACAACAAACAAAAATCTGTCTATAATTTTCCCTTATTTACTCTTAAAAGGAATAGGACATTCTAACTGACATATGAAACAGTCCATCATAAAACAAGGAAAACTAGTAAGAGAAATTATCTCTGAAAGCGGAGACATTCCACCACTTCTCCAAGATACCAGCTATGAAGGAGAACGTTATGTACTAAGCTACAGTAGAAGCAGACAACCTGGGCATAGAGAAGATTCAGAATCTGTGGAAGCATCAAAAATGTCAGTACCTTAGAAACAACTTGGCATTTACAAAGCGCATAAGAGAAATAAGCGAACTAGCATTTATCTAATTGACACAGAGTATCTTCCCACTTCACTCTCCTCAATACATATGTTTCAAAGTCAGATAAAACTCACCCTTTCCTGATATGCCTGATCCAAATTATATGCTTCGTTTTTTTTTTTCACATGCTGTTTCTTTCCCATCTCTTTCTAAATGCCACAAATGCTAGGCGCAAGCAGCTAGACATACAGCCCAAAGGGTTCTAGCACATGCTTTGCGTGTAGAAGGCCTCGGTTCCATCTGTGGTACCACACGGTACCTAGCTGGAAGGAGCCCTGAGCACTGACTGTGTGACCCCAAACAAAACTGTTCCAGGACAGAAGAGTAAGCTCTTAATAATCGTCCATACTAAAAGACTAACAATACAGAGAAATTGCCATTTTAAAATAAGCGTAGGGCTAGGAATGTAGGTCTGTAATAGAGGAGCACACGCTTGTCAGTGCCAGGTATTGGGTTCATAAACAAAATACGCTTGGCACCAAAAAACAAAGCTGACAACACGCAGCCAAGCAACAATACAGGGGGCAAGTGTATGCTTTACATGCGGCTGGCGTGGGTCAAGCACAGCAACCATGTGGTCCTCTGAACCCTGCTAGGAAAGACCGCTGAGCACACTGAGCTCCGCTGGTCATGACCCAGAAACAAACAAAAAGCCACTGAAGGAAGACCATACTTCACTCTGCCCGAGTTCTCTCTCCATGACTTCTATTGCCCCCCAAGATGGCCTGCCTACAGAATGACCCACCCTGCCCAAGAACTTATCCAAAAGAAGCAACAATATGTAACCACAAAAAAACTTGTTTTAAAATGTTCAAACTAAGTTTACTCTAAGCAGTGACACCTTATAAATAAATTCATAAATAGATGGGTGAATAAATAATTATGCCATTACCTGTGCTTGGGAAATTAATCGCCAATAAATAAAAGAACATTTGATGTATGTACAACAACATAGATAAATTTCAAAATTATAGGACTAAAAGAAAGACATTTCTCTAAAAACACTCCAAAACGCCAACCTGGGTTCAAAATCAAAATTATAGGACTAAGTAAAAATCAGACATTTCTCTAAATATGCTCCTAAATGTATAAGCTATACAATATCTACTAAAGAATATTCTAGAAAATTCTGACACTTTTAGTGAGAAATTAGACCAAAAAAAAAAGAGGAATAAAAATCAGGCCATCTTTTAATGGGAAAAACAGTTGGGGAAATTTTATTTCTATCATCTCGATATATGTTTGCCATCTTGAGTTTAGTCATAAAATCATATGTGTACATGTAGAGGGGGCTGGAGCGATAGCACAGTGGGTAGGGCGGTTACCTTGCACTCAGCTGACCTGGGTTCGATTCTTCTGTCCCTCTCTGAGAGTACGGCAAGCTACCCAGAGTATCCCACCCATACAGCAGATCCTGGCAAGCTCCCTGTGGCGTATTCGATATGCCAAAAAAAGTAACAGCAAGTCTCACAATGGAGATGTTACTGGTGCCCGCCCAAGCAATCAATGAACAACAGGAGGACAGTGCTGCAGTGCTACATGTAGAGGAAGATTATGAAATATACTTTAGAAATATATAATATGATATACTTCAGCTACAACTCAATAAATGTGAAGAAAAATAGAAAAATTGTTGCTCTGACTTCAATGATTATTTAAAAACTTAGTTTACCAAAAGTAAAATCTACATATCCCCAGGTGGATCTATAATGTAAAATTTATCCTTGGAGAGGACTTTTTTCAGTAATTCTGTTGAAGCTGGATTAATGGCTACTGTGTCAGCATACAAGGCTTCCCATCTGGGTCATTACAGGCACAAACTTGGCGAGATAGAAAGATCATTTCATGAGGACAACCTGGAAAATATTATCGCATGTTTACTAAAGATCCAAAAATTAAAAAGAATATTATTTGACTATTAATTTATTTAAACATTATGTTATTCATGAATGATTTAACCATTTATTGAACGGTAAGGAATAATGTATAAGGACTCTGAGAAATACTAAAGTTATATCATCAGTTTTTAATCTTTCAACACTAATTTCTAATTTAGCAGAAATTAAGACATATTGGAAAGAATCATGGGGAAGGATGTAGCTGACCTCCTTTGAAGATGAGCTGACTAATGGAATAAATGTATATATATATATATTTATGTATATAATTTTTTGAGATTGTGGTCTTGTTCCTATCTAGTTTTGTTTTGGGGAAAACCGTGGCTTGGTCCTGGTTCTGCACTTGGGGATCACTCCTGATTCTTAGGAGGCTACCAAGAGGGAAGCAGGTGATTTTTTGACAGAATCTTAATTCTTTCATGTAACACTGAAGACTAGAATACCAGAATGATACTGACAACTACTTTTAGATATTTAAAATTATTTAAATCAACAAGTCTGTTCCGAAGTTTTTGCAGAATGCCTGGCATTCCCTTTGCTGTCCTCCTGCAGCAAGATACTGTACTTCAATTCTTTACTGTGTGTTATTAGGAACTCAACGAAAGAAGCATCCAGCTCTTCCTATAAAAATTGGGATAAATTTGTGTATGACATAGCTTGTCAGCTAACACTAAAGTGTGGGAAGAAGTTGACTAGGTGGGAGGAACAGCAGAAGCTTGGAGGCTCTCCCAAAGGCAGTCTGTGATGAGAAGTCAGAGTGAGTGTGATGAGATGTCAGCAAGGCATGGGAAGACCAATAAAACACTGCTTGGTACCGCGGGAGACCCTCCCCTGGCAAACCGTGATACTGACGCTTTTATCTGTTGTCTCTATTTAACACCACATGACTTTGAAAAAGTACATAGGGTGATTTGGATTCACTTATAATGAGAAATTGCCTGCAAACTTGGAAGTATTAAGAAATGATGCTAAATTCTAAATGCAACACCTTTATTATATAAGAAATAGTTTTATGCCTTTTCAAACAGGCATTTTTAAGCATTTCAATTTATGGCTTCAATTATACTTTGTGTTGCAAAAATAGTACTAAAATTCTTGTTTATTTCTCTTAAATTAATTCACCTAAACAAAAAAATTATAATTATTCTTATGTAAGGTGTTGTTTTTCTGCTTTTCTCTCCTACATGGCCTCTAATTCTTAAAGCTTCCAGAAAAAACATAACAGCCTTGGGAATAAGAAAAACTAAATTGTGTTCCTGAAGAGAAAATTGTTTACTGCTTTACGAACAGGAAGGAGAAACACCTGAATTGTGATTTTTCCATCATAAAATTGATTCAAAAGAAAAGAGATTCAACTTTCAGGGTCCAATCTCAGTCCATAAGCAATTCTAATTTCTAGTGTTAGAGTCCAGTCTTTAGGGAGACATCTCAATTATGTAATCATCCTTGTTTTTGAAATAAATGCTAAAATTACCCAAAATACAGGTTAGTCCTTTTATCATCATAAACAGAAGGTTGAGAAAGAAAAGAAATTCAGAAATGTCTTTTAATAAATTAATAGTCGTGGTTTAGATTTTTATAAAAAATATGCTTCTGAAAGAGAAAATGACTTACAAATGAAAAAGGAGACAGTTCAAGAAACATAAATGATTTTTAAGAAATTCCTCCTTATTTTTATTAAAAAAGCTGTTTTTTTGGGGGGCCAACCTAATATTACTGAGTTTACACCTGTCTCTGGGCTTAAGGATCCCTCTTAGCGGGCTCCAGGAACCATATGGGGTGGCAGAATTGAACCCGGGTCGGCACAGCATGAGACAAGTGCCTATTCACCGGACTATTTCTCTAGCCCTTGTTTGTAGGGGTTTTTTTAAAACAAAATATTCTATCAAATGACCAGATTAAGACTTCAATTGGTACAGAGAGCTTGGTGATTCTTTTTGGTGTTCTGAGGACAGGAACTGCTCCCCTGAATTTCTCTTTCTGTCTGAGTCAAAGCACTAGGCCATAGAGAGGGCCTCTGGACCTTGGGCACCATATTGTTTCCACAAGAGGGCCACAGACAAACTAACACATGTTTAGTTCATTTTATTTCTCTTTCATTTGAATCCCATCTGCGTGGCCAGAACTTCTGATTTCACTGCAGCTTTACAACTGTTTTCCTAGTATTTTTCTGATATGTAAATTTTTATATGTAACATTTTAAAACTAATTTTAATTAATTTTATTAATTAAATTTTATTCAATTCAGTGCTCAATTTCTAATATTTTCCTAAATCTTTATAGGTATTCAAAGTTGAATCTTAAAAATATTAGCTATCTTACCAGTTGTGAAGAGAAGTTTTCTTGGATCCTGAGGAAAAGGGAGAAAAAAAAATTAGCTTAAAATAAAAAACACTGATAACATAAAATTCTACAGAACACTGAATGAGTCAGAAAGATAAGACTTTCATCTTAGCAAATTACAAACTTTACAAGCTGGTAGTAGTAGCGTGGGTACCCTTTGATCATTCTGAGACTCAATATATTTGAAGCGACTAATGTGAATATAATATATATCCTGTATACCACACTAGCCAACCTATACCTATAAACTCTCTAGAAAATGAGCATCAAAAATATTTTTAATGTAGATGGGGGCTGTAGATTGTAAATACATACTAAGAAACCTGAGAACTTAAAATGTTTCAAGTACTATTAAAATTAGCTATGGTTTATAAGATGATAGATTCCTAATACTCAGAAATAAAATTAATAGCAAAAAGCTATAACAAAAAATAATTTTTGTTAAATTTTCAATAAAAATTGTCACTGCAATATTTCCTTTAAATATCTCGTCATATGATAGACTACACCCATCTTCTGTCTCCTGGAAAACTTAGATCTGGTTATAGTGAATGTTTAGGTTTATTTCTTATCATAATGGTGCTTAACAATATAACAGTTTAATTTCTTTCCTTATTGCCTTCATTAAATCTTGGGTAAAGGCAGGTTATATGCAAAGTAGGAAGCCACATAAATGATGTAATTTCAGGGGTTTTTGATAAGCACCACTTGCCTAAGAATAAGCTTAAGTCAAATGACTTCTATCCTTGGAACTGTATAAAGGGTAAAAGTACAAGAGAGACTGAACAATGAGGTAATAGCTGAAATGAACAGCTACAGCAACTCAAAAAATGGAACAGTTAATATTGACCAGGAATGAAGTGGTTAGAATAAGAGGTAGTCTCACAGGTACCTAGTAGTAGTCAGGTTAGAGAAGAAGTTTACACAGTCACTTGCCAGAGGCTGTGTCCCTGGAGAGCCCAAGGAGGCAGAATGAAGGCTCAGAGCAAGAACACAAGGCAAATATCACAAAATCATCCTTTCCAACAATTCACATAATACACTATTTAGCATTAAATGTGTGTACATGTTTTCAGTCTAGTGAATTTACAGGTACCTATTTCTTTAAAAAATATATTAAATAAATAAAAGAAAGAGTAAAGAAAAATATAAGAATGAAAAAAGGTAAATATAAGCAAAATAATGAGTTACTACTTTTCTATTTATCTTATAGACAAAAAAATAAAAAAAATAAGTTGTATATTAAAATAGGCATCTTCAGAGAATTAATAGAAGTGTATTAAGTGGTAACACTTTTTAGGAGGACAATCTGATAAGGCGTATCAAAACTAAAATGGCACATCTTTGAAAGCAGAATTCCATTTCTGTAAGTCTCTCTGGAAAATGTGCAGGTAAAATGCTGTGTATCTGAGTAGCACTACACTACTTCATCGATTTGCTCAAGTGGGCCCAGTGACGTCTCCATTGTGAGACTTGGGAATCAATCCAAACATTTATGAATAAGGGGAAAGGCAAGAGTAAAGGCATAGTCTTAGGGGAAATGTGACACTTCCATATTTGAATATAAAAAGTAACACTATATATCCTGGAAATAATAGTTCAGGAACATGAATCATGAATAACACCAAAAACATCTTGCAATAAAACAAAATTATTAACCATCAACTATTGGCTATTTTTAGAAAAGCTTTGACTTTTTTATTTATTGGGGAGCTTTTAAATATTGTATATTAAACATAATCCTTTTAAAATTAAATAAATTTAAAATAAAACTTCCAAAATACTGAGTATTTACTTAAGGAATATTAAATGATATAGCCATTAGATTTCTGATAGCCATATGAATTTTCAAACAAGTGAGAGAAAAAAAGACGAAAACACGTTTTCCAAAGACCTGCCTGGCAGGGAAAAGGAGACTAGAGAAATTGGTAAAGGTAGCACAGACAGGAGAGGAAGTCCTGGTATAAAAGCATGATACGTGAAGAGCATCCTTGACGACAACAGGGCCAAATGAGTCTATAGTAAAGTAAAAGGCCCTCCTGTTGATCATCGATTTGCTCGAGCAGGCCCAGTAACGTCTCCATTGGAGACTTTGTCGTTACTGTGTCTGGCATATCGAATACGTCACGGGGAGCTTGCCAGGCTCTGCCGTGCGGGCGAGATCCTCTCAGTAGCTTGCCGGGCTCTCCGAGAGGGGCGGAGGAATCGAACTTGGGTCGGCCATGTTGGCTGCGTGCAAGGCAAATGCCCTACCGCTGTGCTATCTATAACTCTGACAAATAATAAAAATAAGTAAAATATAATGAACCACTGAAACAGCATCATATCTTTATGTTTTTTTTAAATATACTAGTATATGAGAGGATAAGATACTTATAAGAGAATAATGGGTAAGTTGTGTGAGTGAGGTATAGAAAACACCAATTATATAGTGAAAAATAAAACTGGACTTTCAATAGTGAACTTAATGTAGTACATATGTATGCATTTTTATTTTAATGCATATCTGAAACATGATGTAATTATTAAGCAATGATTCTTTAAAATATCTGCATACTCAAGAACTTTATCAGAGACATATTACTTACGTCTTTTGGTTTTTTTCTATATTTTTCATCAGTCTTTCCTTTGGGGGACAGGGGAACAGATAAAGTATCTGATCACAGGAGCAATAAGTACATGCAGAGGAGAAAGTGAGGTGAGAAAAGACAGAAAACAATCTTATTATTTACTATCAACTTGTCCAACAGCACAGGAAGCTATCTGATCAAACAGAGCATTGGCTCGTGATGAAGCTTGGCATTGATGAAACAAACCTGAGGAACAGGAGGAGGATCAGCCAAACATGGCACGCCAGCCACGCGGACTTGCTGCTCCGCAGGATCTGACTGGGCACATGTGCATAGAGTTCTATCTAATGGGTGACATCATGGAGGGCTAAGTCAGATGCTGCCTGCTATAGAATCTAACCTACTTCCAGGATTAAAGGTCTCCTCTTTCAAGGACTAACAAATAATAAAAAATAAATAAATAAAATAAAATAGAATGAACCCCAAACACCATCATATCTTTTAAGGTCAAATAAACTTATTATCCAGGGTCCTCAAATAATAAAATTTTTCTGCTGTCTTCCCCCAGGGCATTCTCTGGGTTCATTAGGGATATTTAGATAGTCTCCACAGAATGAGAGAAGTCAGGCCAGAACTATTGGAAGGCAGAGGCAGATCTGATCGTGATAGGCAAAAACTGCACATAGAAAAAGTTAAAAGTAACATTCCCCTAACTCCCATTTTCAGCAGGAGAGACTATAAAACAGTAATTATCTATATTTTCTAATGAGAAAGAAATAAAACTCAACTTGACAACTGCATTTTAAAGAGCATTTAAAGGAGCAAGAAAGTACAGATTTTCTGTGAAAATCACAGACCTTCATTAGTCATTTCATGACAAGTGAAAGGAAAATGAGAGGATGAAGACCACCCACCTCATCTTGGTACCGTGCTGCATTTAGTTCAGTGAACTCTTTGTTGTAGTTCACGGAGAAGTTCAGGGCATTTACGAGATGGGCAGCGACATGCACACCTGCAGAATAGAACAGTTCAAGTCAGCATGACTTTCTGCGAAGTCATTTTGTAAAAATGAGTTACTTCCCTTTCTAGGTAAATACAAGGTCAAACTGTGACAGTTAAGCCAGCAAATAAATATAAAAGTGAAAGACAGAAAATCTTGATTGCAGGCAATTTTAATATAATTCATATAAAGGAACTGAAATTTCAAAGGTTGAAATAAAGTAACACTAGTAACTCAAGATTGGAAACACAGATATGCACATTCATCTAAATGCAGGCGTATAAAATTTTGTGGACACTTATTTGTTAATTTAAGCAGTTCCTGAATATTCAGCTATTCTGCATTTTTCACCAGGGAGAGGCCTGGACGTATAGCCACACAGATATGCTGGATATGGGCACAATGACAGGTTTAATCAGTAAAACTCTTTCACAGTTCACCAGTTCTAAGCATCATGATTAAATCTAATAGCAAAAGGACTGATAACTTTGTGACATTAAAAGCACAGGAAAATAATCATTATCATTTCACTCAAAATGTCCATATTCCAGAGACCTGGATCACACACTCCAAGCATCCAAGAGCCATGTCATATCAAACCAGAGGAAACTATGAGAATCTTGGGCACTGAGATAATTTTTAGCCCTGCTCTTATAAATTATAGACAATTTTGCTGTAAGAACTTCGCATGCATGCTCTCATTTCAGTCTTAAAACTATGAATACTTACTGTAAAGTCATTTCATAGTTAAAACAACAAACAAGATCTGGTAATTAAGTCCCAGAGTAAGCATCAGGGTAGTTGGGGTAGAATCCACACAACCATCCCCACTCTCCAGTACCTTAAACACTATGTTTATTACTCTCATTTTGAAAAAATTTGAAAAACATTAAATAAAATGTTCAACATAAAATTAATTTTATAATGATTATTTTTGTTTGTTTGGGGCCCACAGCAGTGGTGCTCAGAGCTTCCTCCCGGCTCTGCACTCAGGGATCCAACACTCCTGGTGACCTCAGGGGACAATATGTGGCGCAAGGGATCCAATTCAGGTTGGCAACATGCAGGGCAAACCTTCTACCCACTCTGCCAGAACCCTGACCTCATGTCTTAAAATAATTCTTAAAGTGTGTCAGAACGTCCACTAAAGAGTCATCTCGATTTCTTGTGCAGTCACTATGAAAACTTTGCTCCAATATAATCTCCCCCCTAAACAAAGAAAACAGAACTACTGAAAAAGCACAGAAGACAAAAGCCAGGGTTAGTAAGGATTACTCTAGGTTTTGGGCAAGATTGGGAACAACTGGAAAAGTCAGGGAACAGCAATTTGACCAAAGGGCTATGACCTCATTGAGTCTCAGGCCTAATTGAGAAAAAGAAGTATGTGCTATCCATAACCCCAAAGTAGAACTATACTTATATATTAATATATCTATATACATAAATATATCTGTCTACATAAACATTCAACATATGTTGAAGCCAGGAAGCAAATAGGAAAATGAAGATCACCAAATCATTTTGGATATTGGGATTGTGAGCAGCAGATTCCAAATATTCATTTCTAAAGCAATTTTTAAGAGTGAAGGATTCCACTTAGCATAAATATATGTGTAAATGTATGAAATCATATAAAATATGTTTAACCTAATAATTATTAAACATATATTATCAATTTAAATTTATTCCTTTGATTTGCTTTTATAGCTAAATTGACTTACCATAGAAACACAGTTAAAAGGTTGCACATGACAGAGTTTCAGTTACACAATGTTGCAACACTCATCCCTTCATTTGTCAATATCTAATTCCACCAATGTACCCAGCTTCCTTCTTGCCCACCCTCCTCAGCCTGCCTCTGTGGCAGACACTTTTCTTCTCCTTTTTTTTTTATTTGATTCAAGGTTTATTCCCGGTTGTGTTCAGTGCTTATTCCTGGCTATGTTCGGGGATCAATCCTGGTGGTGCCCAGGGGGCTATACATTGTACTGGGGATTGAACTGGGGTTGGCTGCATGCAAGACAAATGCCTATACCCCTGATCTATCTCTCCAGCCACTCGCATTTAATTTCAATTGAAAACGAAGTAGAATAAATTATAACAATGTTTTTCAATTTGCTGTCTACCTATTTATTAAAAGGAAGTTAACACTTAAAATTATAATTGTGATACAATATTGCATTTGTTTTCTAATATTCACATATTTTAAACTCAAATAATTAAATCTCAGAGCACTAAAAACTTTTAGTATGTTTCTTTCAACATTTCTAAAAGAGATTATTTACTTTTAACCTTTAGGTATTGATACATAAATACATAAGCAATGTATTTAGCTCTACATATTTAATCTAGTTCCTTCTAGCAGCTGATATCAAGTGAAAGACAAGAGAAATTCACTCAATAGCAATCACAAATGGATTACAGCAATGTATGAAACAATAAAACCCCACATATCAAGTATATGATTTCAACATAAGATTTTTAATCCTTTAGCTTTCTCACCTGAGAAAATACAAATGGTGATACCACAGGTTATATGGAATGTCCTGCTTTTATCTAACAACCTTCTGGTTCTTCTGCTTGGAACCTAAATAAAACAATTCACCATGGTAAAAAGTGTCGCATAAACAAGATATATGTTAAAAGATTTATTATAGGATTTCTTAGAACGTAAAGATTTTGGAAATATACCTATTTTTAGATTTTTAAAAATAGTAAGGTTAATCATGATTTATAGTGAACATATTCAATAGAAGATGAGCTCTTAAGAAAAAAATTAAGGATTATTATTTATTATTATTACTATTTATTATTACATTGGGCTAAGAGCGATAACACAGGGGGCAGGGCGTTTGCCTTGCATGCAGCCAACCCGGGTCTGATTCCTCCGCCCCTCTGGGAGAGCCCGGCAAGCTACTGAGAGCATCCTGCCCACACAGCAGAGCCTGGCAAGCTCCCCGTGGCCAATTTGATCTGCGAAAGACAGTAACAAGGAGTCTCATAATGGAGATGTTACTGGTGCCGGCTTGATGAACAACGGGAAGACAGGGCTACAGTGCAATTATTATTTATTATTATTATTTCTTAATGATTTGTTCATTAGGTTTGGGGCCACATCCAGCAGTTCTCAGTGGTTATTCCTGGCTCTGTGCTTAAAAGTTCAAAAGTGCTGGGGGAGCGTGTGCAGAGCCAGGAATGCAAACCCTGGTCAGCCGTTTGCAAGGCAAGCAACTTCCCCACTAAATGACATTTCTGGTTCAGAGGAATATTTGTTATTTTATTAAATAAATATGTTATTTTATTAAAGATATGTGAAATGATATATTAATATAACTTCAGATATATACCTCAAACAGTAATAATAGTAGTTGTTCCAGCAAAGAAATATTAAGAGAAACATTCAGATTGTTTTGTACATTTCTGGAATTTTTTAATTTTACTACTTATATATTATTTTCTTTTGTAATAAAAAATAAGATTATTTTTAAACGAAGCCTTTTCACCCATGGTTTTAATGCCTCCTTGATTTTATGGAAAACTAAAATGTCAAACATCTTGAATACCTGTTTCACACTAAGGGAAAATCCTTTCATACTTATTAACTGCTGAGATACTTAGGTGGGCACTTTTCATTTCCTGGTACTTGTGCTCTCTTTCTTCACACCAAGCCAATGACAAGTCACAGGACTTGCAATAACAAAGCCTAGCAATTAACAAAGATGGGGAACCTAGAGGGTTATTTTTACAAATTACAGCATTAAAAGTAAAAGAGTTTCTAAATATAATTACGTGAAAAGGTTGAGAAGTTTTTCTAAATGAATCTACTCATATAAACTTCACAGCACATCTGAGTAACCTTATGTTAACAAATCCTCCAAAAGCTCAGTCTCTATCCTGCTGTCTAACATACTCGTGGAGGGAGAAGCAGGCATACGCCACATAGCACGACAATAACTGAAGGCAAAATAGAATTTCAATTGAGTTTTAACTGTCAAAGTACCTTGTAATTTTTTAAACCCTTCATTACATAACATTCAACATCAAAAGTAACACTGCTATTTAATCAAGACATCCTTTTCACAGCTCAAAATAGACATGTGTTTTGAGAAGAAAGGAACTGCCCCAAAGCTGAATTACCCCATGTATTATACAAAGACCAGGGGGCTCTAGTTTGCTTTCCAGCCTTAACTAAATAAAAGGACTGCAGTGAAACATGGAGCTGATACGGAATGAATCTTCACTTGGCCACTCATTTTGCCTCAGGATCATTATAAAATATTTAACTTTCATGCTTCAGGTTCTTCAGCTAGAATTTCTTACTGCAGCATCCTGGTGAGACTTGCGTGTCCCAGTGCAGCGGTTGGTGCCAGCCAGAGCACTAACACTTTCTATATCCTCTCTCCTGATGTTGGGTGTCAGAGTAACTGATCATCTTCACTTCCTACTATTATTTCTGAAACAATTATCCTAGCATAAAGTCAAGCCATGACTTTGTAGATTCAATGCCCATGTGAGTCTACCATTCCACTGTCACATTATGGGAGGACAGTGGGCCACATCTGACCATGCTCAGGGATTACTCCTAGGTCTAGCCTCAGGGATCACTCCTGGCAGTGCTCGGGGACCATGGATCGTACCAGGGATCAAACCCTGGTGGGTCACATGCAAGGCAACTTTCCAGTTCCATGTTTTGTTTTTGTTCTTACCTTGTGGGATCCTCGGAGGTAAGCCAGGAGAGTTCGACACATAGGTAAGAGGATAAGGCTGCAGTTGAGATTAAGAACGGACGCAGAGGCTCTGCTCAGACACAACCCTAGCTGAACAAATAAGGCAATGATCAAAATGCTGTCAAAGGCAAATCTGAACCTTACTGAGAGCAGACCTCAACCTACTCCACCTTAGGATCATGGCAGAAAAAATGTCCTCCAAGAGCACAAAATAATCCTCCACTTTAATCAAAACCCACCAAAAAAAAGCCTGGTTTCTTTGCTTTGCACTTAGAAAACTTGTTCCCCTTTTGTCTTATATTCTATTATAATCAATCAGTCAATTACATTCTTGTTCATAAACTCAGTTTAATGTACTTGCTCATTGTACTGTTTTGGGTATATACAGCCTCGGAAACCCTCAGTACATTCTGCATATCTACACTGACGTCTGGTAAAAATGTTGCTCATTAATAGAAACAACTAATATGTCAAGTGAAATGTTTCATCTGTGTTCTCTTTATGAAGTGCACTGAATTCTGCAGAGCGCCCTTTCACACACAACCAGCCTCTGGAGTCCTCACCTCACTATCTCTAATCATTCTTCACGTTTCACCTGAACTATCCTTTGTAGGTTCTTCCCTAACTGAAACCTAAGATTCCTGCCCTGTGGCGGCTTATACAAAAATAAAAATTCAGAACCATATTTAATAAGCATATTTTCCAAAGACTCAGTCTTCTTCAATATTTATATGATATTTTCAGAAATTAAGTTTAAATCAAGCTTTTGCTTGACTACTACCAACTATGATCTGGTAATCTAGCCATGTTCTCCATATGAATAGTGCCTCATCTGGAAACAAGAAACAGGACTCATCCTAAAATAAACATTCTACTACTTTAAAGATACTGACTAAGAAATATGTGCAAGTCATTTTCCCTTCTTCCTTAAAATCATCCATGCCCCAGAGATTTCCACGTAACTCTTGGCAAAAAAACAACTCTGTTTCAAACTGTTTATTGTCATCAAATGAAATATTGCTCCTGAATGCAGGACACAGTAATAAGCAACATCGGGGAAGCAATAATTTTTACTGACATTTAAAAATCACAATTAATAGTTTCAGTCAGAGTAATTCTACATAATGAACTACAGCCCTTCAGGATGCTATTTATTAATTACAACAAAAAGAAGCATAGGCTCCAAGCAGTAACACACTAAAATATTATTCTGTATTCTACCTGAGTCATCAAAATTGTTACATTTGAATGTGACTAATTTTTGTTATTTAGGCATCCAGAGAAATAAAATAAGTGTCAGTTCTTTCAACCTGGTACCTACATATAGGAAAACTTTAGCTCAATGCATTTTAGATAATTCTATCTGCAATTCTGATGGACAATGATAATAGTTTATTCCAAATAATTCTGTTAATATCTATCATATAAATTTGGGTATTAATGGTTATAAATAAATTACCCAAGTTCCCACTATATTTTAATAGTTTGTAACTTTTACTTTGTTGTGGTTGTTTTGGGGCCACTCCCTGCAGTGTGCTTAAGCCTTATTCCAGGCTCTGTGCTCAGGATAAATTCCTAGAGGGGATCCAGGGACCATATGGGACATTGGGATGGAAAATGGGTTGGCCACATGCAAGGCAAACACCCTTCCCACTGTACTACTGCTGCAGTCCCGTGTGTTTCAATAGCTTAAAGAAAATCCCTATATTGTACTTTTTCATTCTCTATCCATCTATTGTGAATTTGTATATTTTACTATTTTTTGCATCAACTCATAGAATAATTGTATTTAAAGTCAGTTTAAGTGTCCCCTTGGGATACACAGAATGAAATTTCAACATTTCACGTGCTCCTTACTATTCTTCAAAATCTAACAAGAAAATTTACTAGGTACTCCATTTTCTCATATATGCTTGTCCCTGAATATATTAATTCTTTCAATTAAGACACTATTTTATTTTTATTAGATTATCTTAGTTTAAAATTCCCTCATATACATGCAATAAATTAGATGGATCCTGGTCCATTTAAAGTATGTTAAAACAATTATTTTATCTGCTGAACACACGGCTGACATTTAAAGCTATGAGCATGTATTTTATTTAGTCATTGTCAAATAATAACTTCCTTTAAAAATGTTACTTTGAATGTCTACTACAAAGAAATGAATGCCTGACTTTTGTACCTGACCTGATCCACATCTGTAGTTTGTTTTATTATTCATAGTGAGTTTAAATTACTAATTTGTTTTTGGGGTTTTAATTTTTAATTTTATTCAGGTTAGTTGTTCATACAGAGTAGCATGTCACTTTCACATTTAAATCTTACCTTACCAAGGTCTTTAAAACTAAGATTCTACCTAGCAATACTTATTTATATATTCATTTATTTCTATTTTGGGTTTTGGGCCACACCTGTCTGTGCTCCAGGATGTGCTCAAAGGCCATATGTGATGCCACACAAGTGAATGCAGGTCAGCATCATGAAGTGCCTTCCCTGTTGTACTGTCTCTCTGGCCCCTACAGTCATTCTTAAAACTATAAATTCATCTTAGATGAGTATATCTAGAAAAAATATACCTTAACTTTACTATGTACTGAATGTGTGATCCCCAAATTCATTAGCTCACAATGATACATCAAATGTGATGGTATGTGTAAGGAGAGGATTCTAGAAAACAATCGGCTGTAGGAAAGTTCATGAGCAAAGAGCCTCCATGACAAGAGCAGAGAGCCCTTACAGAGATAAGTAGACAGCTGATCCTCTCCTTCATAAGATACTTGGCAAGAAGGCAGCAGACCACACAGGGAAAGGGCCCTCCCCAATACCAAACCTTCCGGTGCCCTGTTCTTGAGCTCGACATCTTCCAGTATGGTGAGAATTAAATGTGTGTGGCAGATACACCCATTCTATGTAATGTTTTACATTCTGAATTTAGCAATTTCATAAAGTTACTAAAACATACACAAAGCAAGTTTTAAAAGAATGCTACATCTAGGTGTAATAAGTTATTTTCCTAAAATTTCAAATACATGATTTTTATCTCTGATCTTCTATTTTTTCTTCATCATCATCATCACCATCATCTACAGCTACGTAAGTGTCCTACCATTAGAGTTGTCTCTAGACCGCTATGATTTGGAATGTCATCATCACAATGACCCTCCTCAATTTACCAAACTCTGCACATCTCCCACATACAGGCTAAAGCAAAGCAGAAGAGTTAGCCATGATCTATCTCCCTCAGGAAGGATAGCATCAGCTGATTCTGAGACAGTGTTATATTGAAGAGCAACTACGTTACATAAAGGTTCATTTTTAGTTCACAACATACATAATATCTTCACCTAAACTGCTATTAAGTAATGACATCCTTGTGCTGAACTACAAAAAATTAAGTGGAAGCATGAGAGAGCAAGTGTGTAAGTGCAAGAATGTATTGACATTAACCCAATTTCCTTCTCAACTGCACAAATTGAAAATAATATATTCATGTTTTCACGTCCACGTTAGCACATGGCTGACCCGAGTTCGATTCCTCCGCCCCTCTCGGAGAGCCCGGCAAGCTACCGAGAATATTCGATATTCCAGACACAGTAACAACAAAGTCTCCAATGGAGACGTTACTGGGCCCGCTCGAGCAAATCGACGATCAACGGGAGGGCCTTTACCTTACCTTACCTTCCACGTACTCATTAAAACTATCTTAAAGTTATTGAAATGTGATAAAACTGTCTTTAGAAAAAATTCATATTGTCATTCTCATTTGTGATACCATTACATTTGTTCCAATCTCGCATCACCCGTGGAACACCGCCTGTTGAACTTTCTTCGTTGTTTGCTTTTTGTTTGGGGGCCACACCTGGTGGTGCCTAGGGGCTACTCTTGGCACTATGCTCAGGGTGACTGCTGAACATGTTCCAGAGATCATTCCTAGTCATTCTGAAGGGGGTTCCGGAGACTGAACCCAAGTCAGTCACATGTAAGACAAGTGCCTTATACATTCTACTATCACTCTGTCCCAGATGAATTCTTAATTATTTTTTAATTTTCAGTCCAATGATCATTTTCACTTAGGGCATTCTAAATGTCCTTCTCCCTACTCATAACCTCATTTTCCTTTTTTGGGGGGGTGGAGTTGCATTTTTCTTGTTTTTATTTTTGTATTCTTATTTTTTATTTAATTTTTTTCATTGAATCACCATGAGATACAGTTACAAAGCTTTCATGTTTGAGTTTCCAACATACAATGATCGAACATCCATCCCTCCACCAGTGCACATTTTCCACTACTCATGTCCCCACTATCCCTCCCCCACTTCCTATCCTATCCCTCCTCCTGCCTCTTTGGCAGACAATTATCCCCATACTCTGTCTTCTTTGGGGCATTATGGTTTGCAATACAGATACTGAGAGGCTATCACATTTGTTCCTTCATCTGTTTTCAGCACACTATCTCTCCAACCATCATTGACTTAGTAATCCCTTCTTTATTCCAGTTTCCTCCCCACCCACCCCCCAGCTCATGAAGCACATAACCTCTGTTTCAAATCCAAATTTTTCTATTCTTTAAAGATTCTGATAATAGGAGCACATCTTTCTCAGTGGCCAAGACTCAGAGACTATAAAATCCAGATCACGGACAAGAACAGTGCAGTCTTCTGCCCCCGCGCCTGGGTGTTCCTTCCCGGGGCCCCTTGGAGGGGAGCGGGTTGAGCTTTCCTCCCCGCCCCGACCAGGGCTCCGGCAGCCAAAGACCTCCAGGACCAGCCACCACCATGCTGAGACCACTCTCCACACACATGAAGGTACTGGCAGAGGGACAAAGCCACGCGGGTTCCGGGGCCGAGACCTCCAAGCCTACTCGGATTGGAGTCGAGCATCTTCCACCCAGATCCTCCAAATTCCAGTAGGCGGGGGTCACACCCACCACCTGGCCCCCTGGCGCCGTGTAATCCCATCAGCGGCCAAGACTCAGAGACTATAAAATCCAGATCCCGGACGAGAACAGTGCAGTCTTCTGCCCCCGCGCCTGGGTGTTCCTTCCCGGGGCCCCTTGAGGGGAGCGGGTTGAGCTTTGCTCCCCGCCC